AGAGATGAGAGATGAAATAAGTAATGAAAATATGGGCATCCCTATCTAAACATTTGGTACTAAATGTTACTTTAGAGTTCATTTGGATCCTCCAATTTATTGCCAACTCAATCGTAGCTTTAAAACCTTGAAATTCATTCTTTTAATTTACCATTAAAGATCTATTAAAATAAAGATAATGTGTAAAAGACGTCGAGATACCTAGATTGATAGAACACTTTTATTCTATTATTTACAATTGAATATCTATTACGATCAATAGCTTGATTGATAGAACACTTTAATTTTATTATTTATTGTTGAAGATCTATTAAAATAAGAATGATGTATAAAATATGAACGGGATTTCTCAATTAATAGAACACCAATTTAATCTTTACCAACATTAATTCTACAGATTATTAATAATATGAATCGATATGATATCTAGAAATGTACTTATTAATTAAAAATATATATTTTTCAATCATTCTAACCATTTTTGGCACTTATCATTTACTATAACAAAAAAAAAATCAAATAAAAAATATTAAAATGACATCATAATTAATCAGTTCCCATCATCAATTATAAAATATTTAACCCTTCACTCTCAACCAGAAAGAGAGACCGTAAAATAGCTTTTCCTTGTCCGTGAACTAAATCATTCAATTTTGAACTAAAAAAAAAAAAAAAAAAAAAAAAAAAAAAAAAAAAAAAAAAAAAAAAAAAAAAAAAAACAACATTTGATGAACATGGTAAGTAGATCTGGTAAAGTTAAAAGAAGTGTTCTGTGGGTCCCACTAGAGCATGAAGAATCCAGAAAAAGCAATGTGGAGGCCAACTTTTTCCAATTTTGTTTTTGGCATCAAGTGGGGAGGGAGAGACTTAAGTGGACGAAAGAACAAATTTAAAAAAACAAAGCTGTCTAAGACCAAAACCAGTAGTACAGCAAGAACAGGAACATCACATGCTAGCCACCCTGCATTCCTCTCACAACGATTCCAATAAATAAAAGAAACTGCATCAAGCCATATGCCCACAGAACAAGAGAGATAACAAATAAGCTACTGCATTGGCAATTAGAGTGAGTTTGAGTCTTGATCCACTGTCACTGTAGTCGGTGTTCATCCCGCCGACGCCTGATGGTCCTAGACTGTTGCTGCCACTGCCGAAGCCATTCCCTCCAATGACGCCGGTGGGGGTTGTAGAACCAAATGGAGTATTGGTTGTGGGAGTTGATCCAGTGCCCGGGCTGGTGGTGGTTGGTGTTCCAGTTACTGGAACAGTGCCACTGTTTACAGGGCTGCAACAGCAGATTACCAAAAATAAGATGAATCCCATTTTAGATAAGATATTACAACAGCAGATAACCTCTGTTGAATTCTATGCCAAATTTCAGAAACAAAATGTTAATCAGTTCTGAAAGGTTTGGATTCATTAATGAAGTAATGGTCAGCTTTTCATTTTCCAATCCCTAATGAAGATGAAGAAAAGTTATCATTTGTTAAGGATCTAGAGATAATCTCATCCTTTCTATCAGGAAAATTTATCTTAGCAAGTGACCAGTTTTCGACTAGAGCATTTCAAATTAGATTCAAGAGAGAAGACAAAGTGTTCCTCCCCCAAGAAAATAAACTGCTGCTCCAGCAACCTTCTTCACCCACATGTGAAACCCTTTTTCCAAAAATCATGGTCTGCCTAGGCTTGGCTTTCGAGGCATTAAAATGTGGCTCAAATCTCAATAATTTACCATCTCGAGGAGCAACATAAATCTGATCATCACTATGAAAAAACTCCATTTTCATCCGAGCATTTACTTTAGGATAAATGTATTTACCAGTGTGGAGTAATTATGTGTGACGGTGACAATTATCACATCTTGAGTGAAAGTGAAAAGTTGAAAAACGCAGGCAGGGAAGAAGCCAGAAAAAATGATCATGTAATTACAAATAGTCAATTGACGAAAAGAGTATCTATAATTACGGCACAATGGGATGATAGCGAATCTAATTGCAAAAGTCTATTTTCCAATAGTATCTATCTATGACTATCGAAAGCTAACTTTATTTTTTGTTGAGTTTCTGACTAACAAGATGCTCTAATCCTGTTAAAGTAAAAAGGCTCTACGTTTTGTTCAAATGAAAATAAAACATAAAATGAAGTCAAAATACTCTTAATATTTTGCTCACGTACAAGAGTAAAGTGGATAAGAAGTCCAAATGAAGCTCACAAAAAATATAAAGGGGGGAAAGGCTAATAATCATGCTTTTATTTCATTTCAAAGAGATGGAAGTTCACTAAATAAGAAAATTAGAATGAGATTTTGAGTCTAGCCATGGATTTGGGAGAAAGCAGAGAAAATCTTATTCTAATAAAGCGATTGTCAGAAATTGAAATGGGAAGAAATTATTGCTATTCCTACCATTCTATATATATATATATATTTTTTTTTTTTTTCAAATAAACATGGTGGAAGTAGGTGCAGAAGTATACCTGGCGCTGGAAGGATAAACGCAGCCTGTAATGCCTGAGAAAACACCAAGAAATTTATAAATAAAAAAATAAAAAGAATCAGATTCCATTTCTGAACATGATAAGAAATATGAAAACAAAACATACTAATTTAGAAGCTGAAATAGATAGCCAAGGAACTTCGATAGATTGCCAAAAGTGTTCAAATTTGTGGCATATACTAGAATCCGAGTAAGTTCTGCGAGGTGTTTGTTTCCATTTTTTCCTTTCTTAAAGTGAATCAGATCATAACTGACTGAACCTTTTCTTATTTAGAAGGAACTAGAGAAAAACATGTGGTTGTAGACAGCGAAATCTTACTGGGGTCAGTAGAGGTGACCATGGCTGTGCCAGAAAAATCACAGGAACCAGGAGCTTGACCCTTCCTCTGAAAGTAGCTGTTAGCAGCATAGGAACAATGGGCCTTGACCGTGTCGGGAGCGAAACAGCCCCCCTTTTGATGAATAGGGAGACAGTCAGCCCCAGCTCCACAAGCATAGTCAATTGTCTTCTGGAGAGCAGTATCACCTATTCCGTCCTTGCAAACGCACCATGTTGCACCTACAAGTTCCAGAAGCCACCATTTCAAGAGAGAGCAGAAGGAACAAAGAACTTACGAAGAAACAGAAGAAAATAAACGAAACACAACGAGATCTACACATCTATAAGAAATTTCAAAAGTACTGGAAACTCACTCCCAGAACTTTTAAGCCCCTTATCCATCCAAAAAGAACCACAAATTTCAAACTAAAAAAGAAAGCTCTCTTTTAAACAAAAGAACAATGACTACATAAAGATGACCATAACTAGAAGATCTATAGACACATATCTGTAGAGATGGTTAATGCACATTTGAATAGCCTTTAAAGATGGCTGACAAGCAAAAGGCTCGAATCAGCGAAAAGATTATTGAGAAGTCAAACTAAAAGGAGTAAAGAAAACCCAGTATAGAAACGCAAGGAGCTTACTTGAATGGCCAGTCATGGCCAGAATAAGAAGCTCAATAGCTAAAACATGCATAACCCAAGACATGATTACAAAGCTCAGAGATAGTGGCCAGAAGAAGGCTCTCACGGCCACATACACGAGCAGAAAGAGAGAAGTGTAGAGAAAAGGAGAGAGTCTGTGAGAGTGGAAATGTAAAATATCCTGAAGGGGAAGGGGTCTGTTCGATACAAAATAAAGGCAGTGGCTTTTCAGAGGGTAATGTAAACGATGGCATCTATGAGAGTGGCCCACTTTCGTATTTTCTAGCTAGTGCACTTTCTGCGCCTTGTTAACAACTAGTAGGCTCGTGACAAACCAATAACTTCAATTTCTCCACCCAGAGAAGCTCAGAACATGTTAAAATAAACAAAGGTTCAACCAAATAGAGCTGTTTCATCACAGTTGCTAAAAGGGGGGAAAATGGAATTGGCAAGCTATTCAAGTGCAATTTGAAACTGAAGTTCTTTAGTTGAATTCAAATCGAACTTCGAGTCACCTAATTGCTTTATTCAGAACCATTTCCAAACACTCCGATTCTGTAGTCAAGTTCTTTAGTGCAATTTGGAACTCACGTTCTTTGGTCGAATTCAAATCGAAGTTCAATTAACCTAATTGCTTTAGTCAGAACCATTTCCAAACACACCGAGTTCGTAGGTAAAATTATCCACAAACCTATTCCCCTCTTTCACCGAAAGGAAATAACGATTAATTACACAAACACGAAACAAAAAGGAATCAGAATAAAAATCAATCAATATTCCCAATGCTGGCGCTAAACGATTGAAATGATTATTTTAATGTACAAAACACAATTTACAATAATATAATCCAGAGCCAAATCTTCGTGAGAGAATTTCTCGAACAATACAGCTTACCTTTTCTTGAGAAACGGGGGGATTTCTCTTGCTTCTTCTCAACGGCTTAAGTGAAACATGAACTAATGCGCCTAGAAAAACACCAAAAGAAGTCACCGAGGACTTGAGCGGCGTCCTTGAACGCTTGGCTGAGTTCTCTGTGAGGAAACTGCCAAAGGCGACATTATTAAATTTCACTGGTACCGCCAAACTCGGGAGATGAAAGCCGCCGGCGGGAAGCCTGCAACAGGAGAAGGGAGAAGAGAGTATATTATAATATTAAATTTTGAGTTTTCTGAAATTATATTAAATATTATATTATAAATTTATTTATTAGAATATTTTATTTTATTTTTGGTAAAAAAAATATATAAAAAATTATTTGAAAGGAATATTTTTATAAAAAATGGTAAAAAGAATCTACAGAGGGCTCGGCCCAATATAACCAACCAGAAGGATCCAGTAGTACACAATACCTGGGCCGATAGGCCCAATAATATTGGGCCCACTTCGGCAAATGCACGTAGCTAATTAGGGTATAATAAATTAATATATATATATATATATATTTTTTTTTGAGTACGTAGTTATTTCAATGATGTTCATTAAGCAGAACTGTGTTCTCAAACGGGTCAAATAGCGACCCGATCTGCAAACTGTATCTGCACCGTTGATTTTTCTAGTAGACATCTCAACCGTTCAGTCGTTCCCTTTATATACCTATCCTCCCCGCCAACAATTCTTAGGGTTCTCTAGGGTTTTTGGTTTCCCATACTCGGTTGGAAGTGCCCTTACTCATATTCTTCTTGCGTTTCTACAGGTTTTAATCTTCATAAATCTGAATCTGAACGTTTAATTTTTCTTTTACCATGGATTCAACTACGATTGTTTTGTTTTTTTTCCCTCGTTTGCGCTTTTGTTGATTGAAATTGCCTGAGATATTGCCGCCCTATGGATAGTCGGAAAATTAATGGATTTGGTTTAGTATTTCTTCTCCTTGGGAGATTGAAGGGGATACTGTATGCACAACTTTCCATTTTGTGATTGTTCTTAGCTAACTTGGAGCTGTGTCATTTATGTTGAAGTTCATCGAGTATCAATGTAGACAGTTTTGTTTTGTAATTTTCCACATCTTGTTCCGTATTTATGAAAACCTTCACTGGTTATAGACAATTTATGTTTTATTTATGAAAATCTTGTTTTGAGGTTTATGTGCTTCATGATTTGTAGCCTTAATCGGAAGGATGTTTACGGCGAGGAAGAAGATCCACAAGGATAATGGTGTCGACCCCTCAGAATTTGAGGAAACTGTTGCTCAGGTGAACTTTTAAATTATCTACCGATTGCTAACATTGGCAGTGTTTTGTGTTCGTTTGAACTGATTATTCGTCGTCTCTTTAGGCATTGTTTGATTTGGAAAACACCAACTCCGAGCTTAAAAGTGACCTGAAGGATCTCTACATTAATTCTGCAATGTAAGAAGGATAGACAATAGTGATTTCTTTATGGACTTTATCTTGTATTCGTATGAATTTTATCTTTCATAATTATCTTGCAGTCAAGTCGATGTTTCTGGAAACCGCAAGGCTGTTGTGGTCTATGTCCCATACAGATTGAGGAAGGCCTTCCGCAAGATTTACTTGAGGCTTGTTAGAGAGCTTGAAAAGAAATTCAGTGGAAAGGTAAGGAGAGAGCGTTCTTTTTCCCTGGTTTGGTCTTATTTTGGTGACTACTTAACTACTCTACTGATTATGACTAGTTAGCATCCTTGACTGAGAAATATCTTAGACCAAATCATAATCAATGAAACAAAAAATCTTGATGTTGCATATCACTTTGGGGGCTGATTTAGCTGATGTACTACCTGTAGCAATGATATTTGATCAGTGTCAAATACTTGTTTACCGCCTTCCTCTTCCTCTAGCAACTTTATCTAGAATGAGAGAGGGGGCGTGTATGCCTCAAATTAAATAATGTAGATGGACAGACATAAAAAAGGTGATAATTACAATTGAACATGATAATTTGCAACATTAATAAGTTTTAAATAAATATTTCCTTATTCGTTTAGTTGTATTCGATGTCTTTTAAGGCAATGAGGTCAAGTAGTGATGGATTGACTCACTTGGTCCATTACGTTAATTAGTGAGGGTTATATTTTTTAAGACATTGAAAGTGAGTTTACAAAGACTAAGCCTTTGAGCATCCTCAGAGGTTTGGGCCTCCATGATCTGAATAAGACATAAAATTGTTTTGTGTTATACATATTTGTCGCCTCTACATTTTCATATTCTATTTATTCATAAACCATTGTTGCTCTATAATAGGATGTAATCCTGATTGCTACTAGAAGGATATTGAGGCCTCCAAAGAAAGGATCAGCAGCTCAGAGGCCCCGCACCCGTACTCTCACTTCTGTGCACGAGGCAATGCTTGAAGACATTGTATTGCCTGCAGAGATTGTTGGCAAGCGTATTAGATACCGTGTTGATGGATCAAAGATCATGAAGGTAATTACGTTTTGACTATTTTGGTAATTTAAATTCTCAAAAGTGATCCAGGAAGGTTGGAAAACTGTTTTCGGATTAAACTTTGTGCATGTCTCTTTGATGTAACATGAGCCATGTCGTGGTCAACGTTCTTGATATTGATATATATATGTATTCACTAAAATCTCAACTTATCTAAATTTTGAAAGGTGTTCTTGGACCCGAAAGAACGGAATAACACCGAGTACAAATTGGAGAGCTTTGCTGCTGTTTACAGGAAGCTTTCTGGAAAAGATGTCGTCTTTGAGTACCCAATTACTGAGGCTTAAGACACCTTATATGTTGCACATTTGGGTGGTGTTTATCGTAGGTTGGAATCAGGTGTGAGCTTTCCAATTTTGATTTCAAGTAATAGATTTTTGAGACCTCGCTTTTTGAATATGTGATCTTGTTGAACCATACTCTTGTCACATTGGATTAATTTTCCGGTTTCAATGACATTCTATCCACTTTTACTTAATTTATTTTTAACCTTCCCATTTCTCCCAACCAAAAAAAGAAAACAAAGCAAGCAATTTTTATTTAATTTTTTTTTCTTTTATAGTGTTCTAAAATTTATGTATTAGTCAACCTGAGCATCTAATCAAGCATTTATGTTTGATCATACCTCTACAAGTATAATTACGGTAATGTACTTTGCTTTTAAGTTCTCCAACTTCAATCAATATAATTTTTCAACTTCACATCAGTAAAGATCAAATTACAGAGTTCTCCAAGTGTTGGATATAAAGAAGACAGCCCCATGACAACGTCCGTTCCCTTCTATGAAATATCCATGATGCGAATTGTTCTTCAATAATAAAAGTAGCTGAACCTGGCCACGTGGTATTAAAAAACTAGCATTTTGTTAACAGAAATAAATAAATAAATAAGCATCTGTAGTTCAACCATTGCAAGAGTGGAAGATTGAACTCTCCACATTTGGAGTGATAATTGATTGACCCTTTAAACTATTATGGGGAGGGGAAGGGAGATCGTCATTTAGCAAAAATCGAACATACCTCAAGACAAGATCACAAGACCTAGGTACATAGCTCCACAAAGAAAGATGAAGGATATAAAACCCCTGCATTTCGTATTCAATTATAAGCATCTTCCTTCGAGAATATATGAGTTGAAGATACCAATCTAAATTCGGGTTGACTCATTTTAACTCTAGATAATATAAGATACTCACCAAATAATTCCCCATCCAACACCGTTACACAGGCAAGGACACACCTCAGCAAATTTCTCAGCATCACTTGAATGAACTCTTCGGGATATTAGATCATCATAAATATCTGAAAAAAACATAACAGAATTAACATAGCAGTAATAATCGATAAAGTAGAAGGCATTTGGAAGCTATACCATAAACTGAGAACAGGCTATTCATTACACCTGCAGTTTTGATAAACAAAATGGTCAGTCTTTCCCTCCATTCCATTGTCAGTTTGGACGATGAATACAATCATCTTCTGCACAAACATGCAAGAGATTCTTGAAATGATGTAAAAGGAGAAATATTACCAATAAATAGGATAACATAACGAAGAACACGCACTTTAGTTGTTTCTTGCAGGACCCAGACGACACCAAGAAAAATGATGAATCCTAGTGGCACAATATGAGAATATTTCGTAAGGGATGCACATTGTGTTGGCTATATCAAGTTTTGTGTATTAGGCTTTGACACTCACCAATGCATAGTCCACGAAGTGTCCACTGCAAATGGTCGTAAAGGACACAAATATAACAGTCAATAAGTTTGGCTATTATGGCGGACATAATATCAAGGTAAAATAAATGAAATTTATGATTTATCCGCGGAAGAGATGAAAGAATCATACACACAATCACAATGAATGGAGCTAATATAGTACAATATATGATATATTAAAAAGGCTAAAATGCAATTAAGCTAGATGGCGAAGTGTTCAACACAACTAGGAAGCTGTCTATCTAAAATATATGCATCTCCCGATTTCTCTACGTAGGTTGTAACGCCCTAAGCCCATCGTTAGCAGATATTGTCCTCTTTGGGTTCTCCTTTTCCAACTTCCTCTCAAGGTTTCTAAAATGCGTCTACTAGGGAGAGGTTTCCACACCTTTATAGAGAATGTTTCGTTCTCCTCTCCAACGGATGTGGGAAGTCCAAAGAGAACATATCTGCTAGCGGTGGGCTTGGGCCATTACATAGGTTCCAAGAAACCAAGTTTGGGTGGATCCAACTTTTCCAAGAAACCAAGTTTTGGTGGATCCAACTTTTCTTTCTAATTCCAATAAGAGCACGAATGCACATTTAGCTGCAGAAACTAACACATTTAACAGATAAATTGAAAATACCAACAAAGTTACTTACATTTTTAGCTACACAAAGTACTACAAGAAGAGAAACAAGAAAGCACCCTGCAGCTATTCTGGACGTAAGAAGATTTGTAGATGCTAGTATCAAGAGCATCCCCCAGAATGATGAACCAATATCTACAATGAAAATAGAGTAATCAGCTGGTATCAACCACATGAGAATGTGTGTGTATGTGCATGAGAGAAAGAGACAGAGAGAGACATCCGGCTGGCAAGATCAACCAATACACGCCACCACGAGTTTGTGTAGCTCCACCTTCATCAGCATGAACCTGAATTCCTTCTACCTGGAAGCTTAAGCAGTTAAGTACATCATGATTACACTAACTAATGACAATCTTCGCATGTTCGTGAGAAATTAAATCAACCTACATTAACTAAGGGTCTGCATTAGCAACATTAATATCATAAGGAAAAGAAAGTAGCATGTTTATAAAGTACTTCATAGATAGACAGAAACCAAAATTCTGTTTACTATGAACAAATGCAACATAGACATCTTGCTGATGTTTCTATTCTTCAGCCCAGAAAGTAGGATGTTTATGAAGTAATTCATTTCCTGATGCAAAACCAAGAAAGATAATGAAACAAACTGATCTACACGAGTTATAATATAGTCACAAAAACACCTATAAGATAGGCTTCATTATCCAAAATAGTGAATCCTCAGTAACAGTTTTAGATTTGACATTATAAACGAAGCTACTTAATTGTTTTCACTCAAAATCGAAGACAAATAATGATTCATTGAGCGTCACAAATTTAACAATGAGAAGAAAATGTGAAGAATTTAGCATCTTACATGACCACAGGTAAGCTTGCAAACAATGGCATGGCTTGCCTCGTGAAGGAACACCGTGACAAGTTTGAATGGTTTCAACAGTATCGTCCTCCAGAGCTAAAATAAACAGACTGATTCAGAGCTAACCTCAGAAAAGAAAGGAAAACGATATAATACTACTTTTGAAGTGAAAATTTGAAGTTCATCGTTAAAAGTCCCCTGGTTACTAAAATGAAATGCTAATCAAGAATTTGCTACTTTCCAATTAAACAAACACCAACTTATCATAAAGAATACAAAAATTTCCACCGATCCAATATTTTGAAGGAACAAATAGTAGCAGTGAATTAAGAGAGATACCGCTAGTATAACAACTGTACAAACAGAAACGGTGATCAGAAACACAACTTGCTCGTGATTGCAGCAGTGCTTAAGCTCCCAATTAGGTTTCATTTCGAGGAATTCGCTAAATCCAACTAGTCAAGAGAAATCCGAAACTCGACTTGCCTGATTAGTCTTCGACTAATCCAACTGGTTAAACTCCGAGAACGAGATCTACAAAAAGAGCATAGAGTGAAAATGACGTTTCGTTTGTGGTCGTCAGATGAGAGAGTGCTGATCCCGATCAGTGATAGGCCGTCGGAAGGCGGAGCTGAAGAACCAGAGAAAGGATTCCCAATTCCGACGACAATTCGACGGAGACCAATGAGGACTTCCAAACCACAGTCAACTTTTTTTCCTTTTTCTTAGATTTAGAAAAACTGAAAAAAAAAAATAATAAAAATAAAAAATAAAAAAATCCACAATATTTAATATTATTTTTTGGAAATATTCTTTAATAATTAAATGAGGAAATTCGAGTTTTTTTTAATAATTTTTATCTCAACTACTTCTGCCTTTAATTTATTAATTTTTTTAGAATACAATTATTTTTCCAATTGACTTTCCTATGAAAATATAAATTATTTAATATCTAAATATAACCATACAAATGGTTGTTTTTTTTTTTTTAATTTTAATTTTAATCATAAAATCCAAAAATATAATTTTTGCTAAGTTGGTTATAAAAAGAAAGTGATCTATCATAAATGAAAAAAAATAATACATTTCTCGACATAAAAAAAATGACGTAATTAACGAATTATGATGTAATTAAACAGAAGAACTATACTTTACATTATTTATACCTAAATCAAAACGGTCAAAGGAATTAAAATAAGATATAAAATTTTCTTTTTATCTATAATTTTGGACTTAGTTTCACTTTTTGACTCTAAAGAAAGGAGGAAAAGGTGAGAAAAAGCAAACCATAACGAACTCCATTTTTTTTATTTTAATAAATAATGCCAAATATTTTTTAACGAGCATAGTTTGTCTACCTCTTTTAAAGCTAAAAGTTTAAATTCTCGTACTTGATAGAATGTAAAAGTTGCAACATTCATCTAAAATACTAGTAGATAACAGACATAGTTGTTTCAATCATAAAAAAAAAAAAATAATTTAATTTTTTTTAACGATTTCACAACCAACTCGAAAATAGAGAGTTGGATTAGGTTAAAATTTTTGGGTTGGGTTGAGTTATTAATCCAGCCAATCTGGGTTGGTCCAAAAACTTCCCTCAACTCAATCCAACTCAACCTGTGTATACCCTTATTTAAGATAACTCACAGAAAGAAAAAAAAAAAAATAGTTTCAAACAAATCTTTCAACAAACCATCAAATGATTGCCGGATGAACTGTATCAACATCTTCCCATAACAAAGACCTAATAATTTGCTCACAATGCTTACAAAAAAAAAAAAATAAATAAATAAATGGTAGATATAAGATCAGAACTATTACAACTGCTCATTCAATGAGAGAAGAAGATTTTCTTGTGGAGTAAACTCCTGGAAGAACTTTGTCCCAACAAAAAGTACCTTATAGAAATCAAACAATCAAGAATAAATGATAATCTCCCGTCTCCTCTTGTTTGCATTAGAATGCAAGCAAGAAGTGAAAATAGAATTGATGTAATCCACCCTTGGATCCGCGTTTTCGCTGGCACACTATCCGGTGTCTAACTCTAATACTGAACTGATATCAACATCTTCCTATAATAAAGATCTGATTCACTCACATCGCTGACAGAGAAAAAAAAAAAAAAAAAAAAAACTGCTTGAATGAGAGTAGAAGATTTCCTTGTGGAGTAAACTCCTTGAAGAACTTTGTCCCAACAAAAAGTACCCGGTAGAAATCAAACAATCTACGAACAAATGATAATCTCCTCTTGTTTGCATTAGGATGCAAGCAAGTGAAAATAGAACGCTGATGTAATCCACTTTTTGGACTAGCGTTCTCGTTAGCACACTATCCGATGTTTAACTCTAATACCATTTATAATAGTCCAAACCCAACGCTAGTAGAAATTGTCAGTTTTAGCCCTTAGATATCAACGTTAGTCTCAAATTTTAAAATGCATCGATTAAGGAGAGGTTTCCACACCCTTATAAGGAATGCTTCGTTTCCCTCTCCAATCGACGTGGGATCTCACCAACAAAAAATAATTCCAAATTAGTTTTCATCCCAAAAAAAAAAACAACTTATAAAGGCGCTTATGCTGAAGAACAGAGCTCTGTCCTTATGTAAATGTCAAAACTGTTGATATTGCAGAAGTAACTGATACCTAACTAAACCTTTGAATAGAGCTAAATTTTAGATTGCCCAACAAGAAATTTTCCCAGATGAACAAAGTATCCACCCAGAGGAGAATGAGAGTTATGAACCCAAGAACCAATATGCCTGCCATTGCATTCCAGATGGTTAAGGATTATAGTATGAACAGAACAATCAAGAAACTTGCCACACAGAATTTACAGTTACTTCAAATTTTATTTTGCTAATTATTCACACATCTTGCTTTTCTAGCCATTATTGTGATAGAAACAGAGAATATGTTACCACAAACAGCAAGGAGATTTCATCTCTCCTGCATATCCAATTCAGAAATGGCAGTCAGCAAGAATCATGATATCCGAAGTAGAAACCAAATGGAACCTTTCAAGTTTCAGCAACTTTATATGAATCTACAGTGATTTCAGTCAGTAACAGCCCAGGAAAAAGTCCCTGCAAAATGATGAGTAAAATCAAGAACCATTCAGAAGAAAATTGGAATGAAATCGATTCAGAAGAACAATGGAATGAAATCGATTGAAAACTGAAATTTCCTCCCTATTCTTACATCCAATTGCTTTTGTACAGTTCTAGGCCTCTTCTTTGGCCTCCTCGGTAGCTTACCGACGAGCACCGCAAAGTCCTCTTCAAGCTCCTCTTTCGACAGCGATACTAATAACGTACTCCGATTCTTCTCCTTCTCCTTCTCCTTCTTCGTTATAGCCTTGATCGAAGATGAACCGAATTCTGGAGTCCTCTCATCTGGAGGAGCCTTACACGCTGCTCTACGAGTCCGCAAATTCCACGGGCGAGCCGCAGTGGATTCTCCCTCGCCGCCTTCATCAGCAATCGAAAACTTGAGTCTCTTCGATTCCTCCCTGATATCGAGCATGATCTTCTCGCGCATGATTTCAATGGAACTGCTCCGATCGTTGTTCCCTTCACTAGGTTTCATCGGAGAAGAGAATCTGGTGGAGTTCGCGCCTTTAGAATTAATAGGTCTCTCCCGGACTCGGTAGGATTCCGATTGGCGATGAGCAGCGGGGTTGGAGTTAGAAGAAAGCTTCATACACTTGAGGAATCTCTGGGAGCCCCATTTGAGATACGGCAAGGAGAAGTTGTGCAGCGGCTTTGATCGATCAGGCGCCATAGCCATGAGGTTGATCGCAAGAATTCCAAGCTAAAATTCCGTGAAGAACACACAAGGCCTGCAATTCCAGAGCCTTGTCAGTGAAGTTAGGGGGCGAGAATCGGGATTGGGGAGGGGAAAAGGTTGAGCTAATGCAGTGTAGAAGAGTGGAAGGGGAGAAAGAAGAGGGAATGGAAATGAGAGTCGCGGGGAAAAGGTGCTTAAAGAATGAAAGGGGGAGGGGAGGCGGGTCGGTTCAGGCTTTTTGGTGTGGCTGAGAGTAAAATGTTGGCGAAGTCATAACCGGTATGGAACACTTTAAACCTTTAATACCTCAACTTTATTGAATTAAAACAACCAAATAAATAAAAAAAAAAAGTGAAAAATTAAATTTAACGGTCGAACTTTTAAACTAATCAAATTAAATATGAAACTCTCTTAACCATTACAATCCTTACTTGAATTTGAATAAAAATTGAAAATATATATATATATATATATATATATATATATATATGACATAAAATAATTGTATTGAATTGAAAATGTTTTTAAGATGAGTTCATTTGTTAACGTTTATCATTAAATTAGTTAAAAGATCTTGTGATCTCGTGATCATTTAATTTTAACGATGATAAGATTATTTATGTGAAAGACGACAAACTAAAATAGAATAAAATGTTGGTTGTTTTCAAAATATTCCATTTATGACACAGTCAACAATATTTTAATTTTTGTTTCCACTCAAGTATACGTATATATTAATAGATAAAATATTCAAATTTTCATTCTACTAAGCTCAACCCGAAAGATAAAATTAGTCCCAAGTTATAAACATAATACCCACTTAGCCTTCAAAAATGTTAAATTAGAAATTTAGTATTAAAAAAAAAGAAGTTAAGATCCAGTCTCGAATTTTTTCTTATGTTTAATCAAAACTCTCATCATTAGTCCTTTTTATAAATAAGAAATATTTAGGAGAGTTTTAGAGACTAAACCTAACCTATATATATTCCTTGCATTTATTAATTAAACCAATTTTAACAAACTTGGAATCAAATTAACTTTTTAAAAGCCTTTTTGCTTGCATTGTAAACTATTAATTAAACCAACTTCACTAATCCTCTTTAAATTAATTAAACATGGCAACAGTTTAATTAGGAGGCCAAGATTAGTAATATGCACACGATTTGTTTTCTCATTCCTCCTTCCAGTCTCCCAAAATTTAACCATTTTAAGTAAAAGTTAAGACCAAAAAGAAAATAATTATATATATAAAAACCATCAGGACCTACACAAAGATTTTGAACCATTTGAGGTGGGACGCTGGTGTGACCTTCGAAACAAGGATTTGGAACAACAAGCTACCCACGACCAGACACAATCTATTTATGAAAAAAAAGATACCTCGCCTTAGCAATGAGGCATATATCTTGCCGAGGAGAAGAGCCAGTGGTCGTTATCTGTAAAATATTAGAATTACACGAAAAGGAAAATACAGCAATAGATGAATGAAATATAGAATCCAAAATGAAAATAAACAGAAAATCACTTCCAAACCAGGAAAAAAGGTGAATGCAAGCAATAACGGATATGAAATGGATCAGAAAAGGGTAAGTCGATGATGTTCTCTATGAACAATGAATTTCAAAATAAATTCAATTTTACAGTTCGCAGGATGAATCTTGAAAGCAAATAAAATGGGATCAGGAAAAGGAATCTACACAGACCGATATGAACAACGTGTGAATTAGATGTAATAAAAAAAAAAACCAGTTTCCTGGTGGAGAGGGATTGATATAATATGTACAAAAGAAAGCAATAAAAAGCGTGTATATTACTTTTGTCACTGTAAAAGAAATCTCACTGATTGGAAGAAGGGCATTCAGCATATGCGGCATCGTTCTTGATTACCCGGGTGTTGTATGATCCGCAGCACTCGCATTTATGATAGAGCCAATGGAACCGCGACGTGCCTTTCCGTTCACAGTCATTGCACAGTATGTCCTGGATTCCACACCCTCATTAGACTACTTGCACCTTATTAAGTTAAATCACAAATAATATCGAAATGGAAGAAATTACTAAACTATAAGCATTTTTTTAAAACATCATTTCAAATTCCTAACTTCGCCAAGTCAAATATTTGTTTCGAAAATAGCAGCATTTATTAATTTCACTACTTAGACTTTGATGAAACTAAAATTTCAAAATTAGAATTAGATTATTCAAGCCAAGTTAAAGGGTTAAAAATAAACTCCTTTTTTTGTGTTGGAGAGGAAGGAAGAATTCGAGATTTTATTTTTTGTGTAATGATGAAGTTACACAATCAAGAACAATAACGCCCTCAAACCAATTCCTAAACCACCAACAGAATGTACCTGGCAACGTTCCCTGTACTCCTCTGGCAGCTCCTCAGTGGCCAACAAGGCATCAAGCATACCAAAATATACCTAAGCACATGTTACAAACAATATGAAAATCTGGTTCAAATTTGCTTTACATAGCCTTCTATGTGTAAATGACAACATTAAAGGACGATGTTAAAAGTCAAAATCCCCAGCATCTTCGCAAGATATAGAAACTTGACATGTAAAGAAGAAACTAGTCAAACTCCCCAAGGCTAATAAAATGTAAAGAAAGAAATTCTGACTAAAGGAAAGCTCATTACAATAAAAATGAAAAATCTCTGCTTGTAGAAATACATATTCTCCTAGCCAACTTTTCTTTTTTTCAACCACAAATGAGGAGAGGAGATTTGAACATCTGACCTTTCGTTTTTGATAGCTCATAAGATTTAAGACTGATTGCAATTCTAACCTTGTGGGGATTGATTTATGGGAATCAAACAGGATGAAAAAAAGAAAGTACATTAAGCCCAAAAAAATGACAGAATAAACACAAAAAAGTCAACAAAAAGAATTGAAAATTCCCTTACCGCCATATCTCCCAAGGACTTGCTGCAAATAGGACAGGTATAATGGCTGCAAGTGTACGCCTACAAAAACCATAATGCATGTAACATCAATATCCTAAACTCATTTTACAGAACACACCAACCAACCAGTGTTCATTTAAATTATCCAGTATCCGTAAGATATAATCCAAACCTGAAAGCAAGCTGAATGCATGTAATGACCACAGGGTAGCGGTCTGACTGTTGCACTAGATGTAAATAAGAAATCACAACAGATGGGACAATTCGTTTCTAAACTTTTCTCCAGGCACTTGTGACTCTCCAGCTTTATTCCAAGGCAACAATTGCAAATCATGCAATGGAAAAAATCGATTCCAAGACCCTTCCCAACACGACATAAGTTGCAAAATGGGCAATGATACACAGTCCTAGAGAACAATTGTGACAAAGAGAATACAAAAGAGATTTAGCTAGATTTCTGTTATTCTAAAAACATTTATTTATCATGACAGTCTTCGATGAAATAGTCAACAAACCAGATGAGTTAAAACATTTCAATTGGTACAATCCCATGAAAGAGGATAGCCACAAAAGACATCATTTAAGGTACTCCACAAGGTCACAGGAACAATTTCTCCCATCAGTTAACCAAAAAAAATCGAACATTAGCTTTCTGAAGATTCGAGGTTAGACAGGAGCTCTAGCTATTTTTGTGGTTGCTGATATTTTAAGCTTTGTTGGGTGCAGTCATTTTGGTATTAGATTTGAGCTTTCCTATGCAGTCTAGTTTTGTGGCTAGATTTGAGTGTCTTTTTGGGTTCAGTTAGATTTTGAGTATTTTGTTACCAAAATTCTGAATCATTTCCAGTTGATAGCCATTTTGATTTGGCCAAGACTCTTCAAGTTGAAAACTGACTCACTCAACTACCTCCTGAAGAAATTAGTCTTTCCTTGATATTTATTCACAAATCTCAGTAACTGGGAATTTTATCCATAGATATTTCGGTCAACTAAGAGTTGCCTGTTGCCAGCCATATATGAAGGCAATCGAGAGAACGTTGAAAGGATCTACAAAAAAAAAAAAAAAAAAAAAAAAAAAAAAAAAAAAAAAAAAAAAAAAAAAAAAAAAAAAAAAAAAAAAAAAAAAAAAAACAGCCAGCACAAGAGGAGCCCAAACCTAGAAAAAGGATCTCTAATCTGAAAGAATAACACCTAAATCATCCTGATAAAAGGCACCACCGTCCACAGGGAGATATTAAACCTACCGAAGGATGTCCCTACAATCTACAACTTTCAGCCTTGCTATGAAATATCGTAAGATAGTTTTTAATGCTAAAGTCTATTTATCTCTAATCTGGTCCAACTTCTTCTAGCAATTAAAGTCAACATATGAATATGTGTTGCAATCACCATTTATCAACCCCTTACTGTTTACAGCTTGCAAGTCAAGATATAAATAGGAAAAAAATGATATCCAATCTAGAGAGAATGGAAAATTTCATGAAATATTAACAACCAAAGGAATCATTTGTATCTGATGTTATGTATAAAATTGTTAATAAACATAATTAGCACATTAATCGTTAGATATCTCGCTTGAGAATATCATTTCTTCTGAGGGCTTATCAAGCCACAGATATAATATCATATTTCTTAAAAATTATGAAGTATCAGAATTTGTACCTTTCATCATCAAAAAATTTACAAATATTGCAATAGTATTTCGCCATTGATAATCCATTGCAAGAAAGTGTAGTGCATACTGGCCCAACTGATTGAATTGTTAGACAGTTCATGCACATCATCTCTGATGTTGCTTTCCTAAAATCATGGGACAAAATATCAGAGGGGCAAAACACCACTTGAATTTGATGTAAATCCTGAAATAATACCTGTCCATTGAGTGATCGCTGACATTATCATGACAAAATCGACAAGTAAATAACTTTCCGCAGCAAGCAGCAAGAAGCTTGCAGTTTCTAGTGTAATGTTCACACCCAAATATTTTTTTCTCCACACAGCGAAAAGATGGTGTTCGTCCTGCTGCATCTTCACCATTGGAATTGTCTTCTAGATTTCCTTGAGGCAATTTCTGCTGTGCAGCAATCCAGCGACTAATTGAAAACAATAGCATGCAATTAATTTTAAATTCAACAGCATAGCAACATTGAAGTAAGACGTGCTATGCAATTTGGAGGTAGATCAAAGCTTATGATAAAATATTATATCAAACCATACCTGGTCATAAGATTCTGCACAAGATATGCTTTTCTCCTTGGATCAAGAGTCGAGTCCTGATAAACCTTTCTGATTTCTGATTCAAGTTCATTTTGGTTCATGCGAAAAATATCTTTCCAGCCAGGCTTGAACATTTGATCATTCTGATCCAAGCTCTCAATGAGCCCAGAATCTGGAAGGAGAGAAAGAGAGATATGTGATTACAATTTTTTTCATTACTGAACAATTGAGGAACATCCAACATGAGTGTGAGATCAATAAATATGGAAAAACCTTTCTCAGCAACACAAGCTTCCGATGTTTCACCGTTTAAAGTAGACGACGCAGTCCCTCTCCAACAATCGTTGAGCCATTCGTTGAACATGGTGTTTCTCGTGGCCTGCTTCCACGTATCCATCATGGTATTCTGTTCGTCTTGAGTAAGTGCAGATGTTACCCATGGCAACATTGACTGGAGAACTTCAGCACCTGTTGTCCCAATAATACGACCAACTATTTTGTCTTGCTCCTCGACGGAAAAGTGTTTCCCAAACAGCGGCCAAAGTTCAAGTTCTTCCCTAAAAATATGCTGATCCAGGGTAACTCTTATAGATTTGCACATTCCTTGAAGCTTTGTAGCAAGCTCGTTGTACATTCTATTACAATCCTTCCCCGCCATATTAACAGAACCTACATCACTTCTAGAATAACTCTCATCTAACTGAACCTCATGCAGACTTTCATGGAGGAGTGAAATCTCAGAGAGAACACATGAAATATCCTCAAATAGTTTTTCCTCCTGCTTATGGTCGAGCGTATATGAGTGACTTACATTGTGCAATGTCTCTTTGGATTCCAGAGCAGGAAATACAATATCATCTTCAGCATTACTATGAGCGCGATATAACCCCCATAGAAGGCGAAATCTTCCAATAAATTGCCGGAGAAATGTTTCATCACAATCACCAAGTTTTCCAGATTCAACATCTAAATATTCCAAGTCTTTGCGTATCGCTTTGTGAAATTTAAAAATAGTATCAATGGGACGTCCTGCAGACCCAACATCAGAAGTGGCATTATCCGTTTCCCATGAAAAAAGGCTGGAATTGAGAGAAGGTGCACAAGAGCTGGGAGATAAGGATCGCATAGACTTGGATGAGAAAATAGAACTTAACCCCAGAGTCTTGCTATTTACTCCTAAAGCTGGAACACGGCAGGACTGATCACTACAACATTGTTGCTGGACATTAACAGTCTCTGAAGCAATACGGCCATCACAAAGTCTGCATGACATAGGAACATTCCGTATGGCTGGCCTCTTAACATGAACATTAGTTTCTTCTGGATCGGATTTTGGACCTTCCCTTGCAATCAATGCAGGGGCACATGAACAAGACGATTGAACAGTGTCTTCTTCAATATCAGGTAACCTTTTAACTGCACAACAGCCAACTGCTCTTGAAGATATGCACAAACCATTATTGCGGGCCTTGCAAGCCCAACCAGAAAAGAGAGTCACCAAAGCAGTATCTTTAGCTGGAGCTGATTCAGAGAATTATACGCTATCAGAACCACTAAAAATACTAATATCATCAACAAGAAGATATATAATAGACAGCTGCAGTAAAAGTTTCATAGGTTTGTCTCTTGAAAAGAACAGACAAATTAGAAAAATCAACAAACCTGCCAACTGCATGTTCTTGAGAAAAT